GACAAGTGCAAAGTGCTACACGTTCGGAAGATAAAATCAATGCACAACTACAAAATGGGGAATAACTGGCTAGGTGGTAGTACTGCTGAAGAGAATCTGGGAGTTATATGGGATCACAAACTGAATACGAGTCAGCACTGTGATGCAGTTGTGAAAAAGGCAAATATCTTTCCGGGGTGTACTAACAGAAGTGTCATATATAAGACCCAGCAGTTAATTGTCCTGCTCTACCCAGCACTGCTGAGGCTTCAGCTACAGCCCTGTGTCCAGTTCTGGGCGCCACACTTTAGGAAAGAGGTGGATAAACTGAAGAGCATCCAGAGAAGAGCAACAAAAATGATAAAAGGTTTAGAAAACCCAGCCTGTGAGGAAAGGTTAAAAAACTGGGCATGTTTAGTCTTGAAGACTGAGGTCGGACCTGGTAACAGGCTTTAAATATGCTAAGGGGCTATTATGCTGAGCATGGTGATCATCTGTTGTCCACGTTCACTGAAGGCAGAACAAGAAGTAATGAGCTCCATCTGCAGCCAGGGAGATTTGGGGAAAACTTTCTAATTACAGGGATACCTAAGCTCTGGAATAGGCTTTCAAGGGAGGATGTGGAATCCCCATCTCCATCACTGGAGATTTTTAAGTACAGGTTGGAGAAACCTCTGTCAGGGATGTTCTGTGTTTATTTGGTCCTGCCTCAGCACAGGGGGCTAGACTCGATGACTTCTCTAGGTCTCTTCCAGCCCCACATTTCTGTGATTTATGGTTTTGGAGTAAAAAGCAACAGAGGGTCCTGTGGCACCTTTAAGACTAACAGAAGTATTGGGAGCATAAGCTTTCGTGGGTAAGAACCTCACTTCTTCAGATGCAAGAGTATTTATTTTAAAAAGAAAGGTCCCAAACAAGCTAGCCACTGGGCAAATGCGCAGAAATAGACAGCACCTGATCCAAAGATCTTACAATCTGAATATCACGACAAAAGATGGAGGAAATTGCTGAGATGACATCTCAGCAACAGAGGGGTATCTATGTGTGGTCTCCAGAGTCTTGACACACTTTTAAAATGGCTGCGAACTTCACTTGAATTCCATTCAACCTGAATTACACTTTTAAAAAACAACCACCAATAGGCTTCCTCCCACAAATGATATGACCCATAACAGGTCATTTTGATCAAGAGGTTTAATATATTCAGGGGTAAATTTTCCAAGGCGTGGCATAATATGCACCCACAATTTGATTGCTGATGCAAAGCAGACTACTTGAGCAGCTGCAATCAGGTAGCTAGAGCTCAGTGCCTGCAAACCCAGGCAGGGCTACAGAGCAGCTGAATATGCAACCCTTAATGATTGCTTTGCGTGTTCAACAAGATAAAGATTCTTCTTCTGTTTGCTTTAAATTATTCTTCTTTGGTTCAGGTCTTAAGTTTTCTGGCAATAGAAATAGTTTTGATAAAGCTGATTTATGCTTGTCACCAGCTATTTTGAGACTATCAAGCCCTGGGATGGTAGCTGGCTGACTTGAAACAGATATTTTTGAATGCCAGTCTCTTGTCAAAACCTCCTGGTTTCAACACGAGGCCTGACTGAATGAGTGGGAGAGAACTGCGAGCAGCAGTTAAAAGCGTGGTTGTTTTGTGTCCTTTTCAATGGCCTGGCAGTAAGAAAAAAACTAACACAAAAACCCCATCAGGCTATAGGGCGTGAAAATGATATTTAATTAAAGTACCAGTTCACAGTACTAGAGATGCAATTACTAAAGAACATTTATAATGGAATTAGTGGAGCAACTTTTCAGAAGCTGTTCTATGAAGTATACAGCAGCAGTGAAGAAATAAGCAGAGGAAACAAATATGTCTAAGCTATAAAGGAGAACTTGTTCCATAGATTCCAAAGCCAGAGGAACCATTGTTGTCATCTAGTCTGACCTCCTGTATAACACACTCCAGAGAACTTCCCCAAAATAGTTCCTAGAGCAGATCTTTTAGAAAGACATCCAGTCTTGATTTAAATATTGTCAGTGATGGAGAATGCACCATGACCCTTGATAAATTGTTCTAACAGTTAATTATCCTCACTGTCAAAAATGTACACCGTACTTCCAGTCTGAATTTGTCTAGCTTCAACTTCCAATCATTGGATTGTGTTATACCTTGCTCTGCTAGAAGTGAAGATCCCATTATTAAATATTTGTTCCCCATGTAGATACACCTCTACCTTGATATAACGCTGTCCTCGGGAGCCAAAAAATCTTATCGTGTTATAGGTGAAACCATGTTATTTCGAACTTGCTTTGATCCACCGGAGTGCCCAGCCCCGCCCCCTCGAAGCACTGCTTTACCGCATTATATCCGAATTCGTGTTATATTGGGTCGCATTATATCGGGGTAGAGGTGTACTTACAGACTATAATCAAGTCACACCTTAACAAAGAAAAGGTTAAGTTTCATAGGGTATGTCTTCACTACCCTTCGGATCTGCGGGCAGCGACTGATCCAGCGGGGGTCGATTTATCGCGTCTAATCTAGATGCGATAAATTGACCCCTGAGCACTCTTCCGTCGACTCCTGTACTCCACCACCGTGAGAAGTGCAGGTGGAGTCGATGGGGGAGCAGCAGCAGCAGACTCACCGTGGTGAAGACACCACGGTAAGTCGATCTAAGAACGTCGACTTGAGCTAAGTTATTCACGTGGCTGAAGTTGTGTAACTTAGATCAATCCCCCCCCAGTGTAGACCAGGGCATACTCTTTGTTTCTCGCTGTAAGGCATGTTTTCGAAGCCTTTATTCATTCTCGTTGCTCTTTTCTGTACCCTCCTTAATTTATCTATTTCCTTCTTGAATTATGGGCACCAAAACTGAACACAGTATTCCAGCAGCAGTTGAACCAGTGCCAAATACAGAGATAAAATAATGACTCAATGCAAGTGCGAATCGCAAAGATGTAGATATTTCCAGGCATGAGGTTGCTGGAAAAGGTTATTGTAGCACATTGGCTCTGTGCACTGAATCTTGAGAATAGGTATCCTATTAAAAATAAGCTTTTTAAAAATAATTTCCCTGATTTTTAAAGGTGCTGAGCACATATGTGTTCCCACTAACTTCTACAGAAAGCTGCGGTTGCTCAGGACCTCTGAAAATCAGGGCAAATTTACTTCATTTATATGTTTTTAACAATTTGGGAGGAGCCGTAACACACCAAGTACACGGCTCGTACTAGTTTCCTCAACTTCTCAGATTGTTGGACGTTACTAGACTTTTGGCATCACATGCTGAGCACCAAGGGCAAACCTATTGATTTTTGGTGTCATCAGAATTCTGCAGGAATGATATAACCGTAACAGTTTCCCTGTGTTGCAAAATATTTTGAAACATTTGAAAACCTTGAGCAAAGGTCTGATTATCAGTGATGACCTCCTGTTTAGATACAATATTGACTGACATATGGAAATTAGACATATAGATAAAAAAGCTGCTAAACATTGTATTTGCTAGAGAACTGTTTAATTAGACTATTAAGGGTCTGAAACTGACCATAAGCCAGCAATTATTCTTTATGAAGTCCCTGAGTGACTGTCCTCTGCAGATTAAAAAAATTATGATCAAGCTTCTGAGATGACCTGAAAGTATTGTAGCAAAGTTACATCTGCAGCTGATGCACTGGGAAGAGCAATGGATAAGAATATGAAAGAAAAAATAGTAGGAAATAATGGAGCATATGCTAGTTTGGTAATGATTACCTTACTAACTGCTGACCTCAAGATTAAATTTATCACAAGCAAGACAGAGGAGACTTTTCAAATCCTTGGGACAATACTGAAGTGATAGCCACATGCAAAACTAGATTATTCAAGGATACTGCAGCTATAGAAATTAGCTAATGTTATAGGGCAGGGGGAAAGGCAATATATGAGGATTGCAAAATAATGATGCCCCATAAAACCCTCAAGGAAGAACGGCTGCAAAGGTTCAAACAAAACAGATGGACGGGGTCAGAGCAAAATGTTAAAATAAAACAGGCATATGAGGTCATGTATTGTCCCAAAATAAACTCAGGACATTGTACAGATGGAAGCACATTGCACATCTGGTAAGAAAAATAGGCCAAGTCCTAAACAGAGACAGACTTTACCCAGTGTGTTAGGAACTAAACCAAGTCTGCACCAGAAAAGAGCTACTGGTTACGAACTATTGTACCGTACATAACGTTAGCAGTGAGACTCTGACTAAAGCACGTCCACACACTGGACATTTTAGCACAAATGAGCCAGTTTGTTAGTGCCAACATGTAGACAATTTGCAATATAATAAGATTTTATCTATACAGCCTAGAATCCAAATTACCCATTGTTGAAAGGATCTGTGCAAACTGTTCAGAATACAACAAAGGGAGAATGACTGTGGGGACAATGTGTACCAGAACCACTAGCTTACTGCACTGACCCAGCAGTGAATGGGCGAACATCTGCCTCACTACTTAGCAAGATTAGCTTTCTCAGATATCAAGGATTATTTTGGGGGGTAGCTACTACCAACATTTTGCTCTGATTTTGCAAAGGAAAACAGCCTTTAGTTTTCAAGAACGCTATAGTAATAAATAATACATCTGATCCGAGTAACAGACAGGTGAGCCCTTGCTGTTCTGTATTCCCTGGAGTATGGGAATTTGGGTTGGTCCCTAAGGATGCTTATCAACTGTGGCTCCCAGATTGTTCATGCAGGTGTATTATTTAAGTAACATACTAGTAAACGAACAGCGTCCTTTCAATTGGTTGTAATTACACAATGGACTCAGAACGGTTCTGTTCAATCATATTTATGCAATGCTGGAATTTAGTTGCTAGAACCTTGGTCCATTTTCATACCTCATGTTGCAACTCTATTATGGATTTAGGATTGTGTCAGGGCTCAAGCGAGCTACACCAGCATAATAAAATTTAACCTAAGCAGACCTTAGGAGTTTGAGACTATTTAAAAAAAGGATACGTATAAAGATAAAAAAGACACTTCTGAATTTATATATCAGTTTGTATTAAAATGACCATTTTTCTTACACTTCTAATAATCAAAAATACAATATGGTACATAAGCAACATACTTAAGAAAAAACAAGTCCTATGTAATTCAAGATATACTGCAGCATTTCATGTATTTACACAAGGGCTAAATGGATTCTCATAAAAACAATACAATTAATAACAGGTCTAACCCAAATAGTATTACATTACTTGGCAAATTCCTACCACAGGATTTTGCAAGAGAAATGCCTATGAGGTGGCATTACTATGTGCTCTCCTCTTAAATGTTTCTATCACATGGTCTGTTGTCTTCAGCTTTTCGGGGAATGATTTTGTTTTGGGTCCAGGCTGCGAAACAGAGAGAGATTAAAAAATTGTTCTTATATGGGACAACTTAAAGCTTGTAGATTGCAATGTAAACCTGAACTTTCCTATCTTTCTCATGCTCATGTGTTCATCACATCAATATTATGCAATAAATGCAGATTTAAACCAAAGGGTAAACTTGCTAGTGTAGACTGCCAACATGCAGTAGCAGTAACACCACACGGAGGGAGGTGCAGTGGTGCAAATGGTTGTCTATGATGCCTGCACCAAGTTAGTGTAGCACACAAGATGGAAGGCCAGGATGAGGCCTGGTTCTGTGTATGGAAGCTGCTGCATATCCAGCACTTAAGAAAAATCAGGCCACTTATGATACCTAAATCTGAATCTCAGCACCCATTTTTTAATGATTTGGTTTAATCCTCGTAACAATGAGCTACTGATAGAGCTGGGTTAAACCACAGAATCATAGAAATGTGGGGCTGGAAGGGACCTCAAGAAGTCATCAAGTCCAGCCCCCTGAGCTGTGGCAGGATCAAGTAAACCTACACCAGCCCTGACAGGTGTCTGTCCAACTTCTTAAAAACCTCCAATGATGGGGACTCCACAACCTCTCTTAGAAGCCTATTCCAGAGCTTAATTTAATTTCCCCCCTAATATCTAACCTAAACCCCCTGGCTGCCAATTAAGCCCACTACTTCTTGTCCTACCTTCAGTCGGTACAGAGAACAATTGATCATCTGTTTCACAACAGCCCTTAACATACTTAAAGACTGTTATCAGGTCCCCCCCTCAGTCGTCTTTTCTCAAGACTGCTTTTTTAATCGTCCCTCAAAGGTTGGGTTTTCTACATCTTTTATCATTTTTATTGCTCTCCTCTGGACTCTCTCCAATTTGTCCACATCTTTCCTTAAGTGTGACACAAAATTGGACACGGTGCTCCAAGGCGTCACCAGTGCCGAACAGAGAGGGACAATTACCTTCCATGCCTTACACACGACACTCCTTGCACAGCCTCATATAGCCTTGCCAATGCATTTTAATCCTAATGAGCTGTACTCCTGTTTATTGCAGTGATGAAACTGTTTGTAGGAGAATGCCAGTCCCACTGCATTCTGCTAACTTGTCTGATGATTTGGTGACTTGCATAAATGCAGATTAGACCGAAGTCTGAAGGGCCCGGACACTGGGGCACTGCTTTATAAGATGATACTTGTGATTGTGCAGAGCCAAAAGGAAGTAGGACAAAGGGAGGTGAAGTATTTTAGAAATATTCCCTTCACTGTTATCACCACTTCCTTTTCATGAACAGACTGCATGTGACCTCCAAGTAGAATCCCTTTCCCTGTTTCTTGCCTCTCTTCTCACTCTTCTGAGTAAGCTCTGTTCTTTTAGGTCCTGGTTTCCCTTCCAGTTGCATTTGGTCTGAAAATTAGTACACGCAACTGCAAGTTCTTTTCTCTGGAGTCTGACTAAGACTGGAGGTTAGGACAATCCCTGCATCACTCATCACCTCTCCTTATCCGACCAGTGACACTATGCCAATTTTTCATCATTAATACTGTAATTACTAATCTTATACACGGTACTTCTCTCCCTTGGGGGTGCTGTTTAAACCCTCTTGAACTCCTAGTGCATTACGTCTGCTGCCTCTCTCCTGTCAGCTCTCATTGTCATTTCCACAAGGAAGTTAATCAGATTTGTTATGCGTGACCTACCCTTTATAATCCTTACTAACTGATCGAGGGAATCTGGTGCTGGATCCTGCTTTTTTAAGCATCTGCTTGTTAATACAAATAAAATGTACTAGTTTCCTTCCCCCACAGGGGAGTGTCAGATATTATTTGTGAAACACCGCAAGTGTACATGGAGCTTTATGGTAACTAAGCAGCGATCGACAAGTCACAAAGAAATTATCTTGTGTCATCTGTGTGGACTGCCTAGTGAATATTAGGGATTTAAGTGAGCTGTGTGGGGTAGGTGGGCGTAGATCTGAAAAGAAGATTACCAATTACTGGTTCATAACCCTACCTTGGGATTCCCTCCGTATATCCTTGTGCCTGGGAGAACTAAAACCAGTGCTCCACGGTGAAAGGATGGTGAGTGTGAGGATGCTGTCTGTGAGAACAAATTCAGAGGATTGCCAATCCCAAGCATTCAAAAATCATGAGTCAGGCCCCCCATATTGAGGCAACTGGTTTAAAAAATCATGAGAGTTGAAAAATAATACATTTTGGGTTCTTTTTATTCTTTTGCCTTCTGGATTTTGAGCCTCTGGGGATCACATTTTCAGGCTTTTCTCTGCAACTATGAGGGCCAGAGATTTACTTTTTTAAAAAATGAATGCTGAGCGTCTCAGATAATCACATGACTCCAGGAGATGGATCTTTAAAACGAATTCCAAATATACTGAAAAATTCTAAAGCACCACTTTGCTAGAGTGAGCCCCCTGTGTGCTGTATCAAGACCATATTATTTCCTCCTGGTAAAAAGTAAACTGTAATAACTTGTGTTTACAGTTGCTTAAAGCAAATGGTGTGGTCACATCCGTAATAGAAAGACCACTGGGCCCTTCTGGACTAGGTATTTTCATAAGCAAATAACAGATGCTGCACAATTCTGTTTCAGATAGAGATATAGGGACCTTTAGATTCCATAAACAGCGTGTGATTTACAAAAAAGACCTCTCAGCTGCAGAGAAGGCAAATTGTGACTTCAAGAATGTCTTCCCCTATAGACGTAGAGAGTAAAATTTTCAAAAGGGCCTAAGCAAAATAAATCTCATTTGACTTTTAGAGGGACTAAGGCACTTTTGAAAATTTTACCCAGGTTCTACAAAAGGCGATTTACAATTAATGGGTTAATTAGGCATAGAATGCATTAGACAGAGCATAGGTTAATTAAGGTGATTGTCTTAGGCTGACCAAGTGGTTAAGAGAACCATAACTTTACGCAGTATGAGGGGGGGCTTACTGCAAGAATCTACAGTTCACTAACTCGTTATGTAATCAGAAAAAGGAATGCACAGTCCAGACATCCAAGTGTCAGGAGAGGATGACTGTGCACTGGTTCTATGCTGCAGCTTTGAAATGTACAACGTCTTTCAAGGTTCTCTAGGTAGAGCTTGCAGAAATTTCAAATTCTGTACCTGATGATGTGTGTAGTGCCTTGCACATACAAATAATAATCGGCAACTAAGGAATGAAGAGGCCAGAGTTCCCCTAAGGAATTCAGGATGTGCATACACTGAGAGCTTGAGCACCTCTATGGAATTATAGTCATTTCACTTATGTTCCAAATTTGGCCCTTTTTAATTCAATACATGGCGCCCCTCCCAGTTTCCCCTGTGTTGTTCATCTGCTCCCCAGGCTCCTGCTGTATGTGCTTCCTCCCCTCCACAGTTCCTTGCTGCTTCCCTCCTGCTGTTCATTCAGTTGCAACACTGGCTTTCCCCTACTTCACTGTGCTCTGTTGGTTGGAACAGGGGACTGGAAATCAGGAGAGCTGGGTTCTGTTTCTGCCTCTGGCTGGCTATGTGATCTTGAATGAGTTGCTTAACTTCTCCGTACCTCAGTTTCCCAGTCTGTATAATGGAGTTTCTGCTTTGAGTTCTTTGGATCAATGCCATTAATATTACTACTACCTTACTGACAGCTCTTCATTCATATTGCTGGGCCAGTTCAATCTCTTCATTCATGGATGTTATGACACACAAATGAATTATTATTAGCTGTACTGAAGTCCATATCTTATAAGTTAGGCAAAATGATTACACTGATCCTGCTACTATGAGCAAGTGTTCAGACATATTCATACCTTGCTGGCTCTGTCCTTTTGTGAACAGGTACAACATGGTGACAACTTTTCACTTCTCTTCTCCAGTTCCTCTAAATGGCTCTGGGTGAAAATACCAGTAAAATGACATCCAATTGCAAATCTTGCCTTGGACATCCTATCAAAAATTTAGCTGACACACATCAGAACTAAATATGACTCCAAATTTGATAAGATCAACAAAGCAGACTTAGTATCAGAGGGGTAGCTGTGTTAGTCTGAATCTGTAAAAAGCAACAGAGGGTCCTGTGGCACCTTTGAGACTAACAGAAGTATTGGGAGCATAAGCTTTCGTGGGTAAGAACCTCACTTCCTCAGATAAGAAGTGAGGTTCTTAC